TTAAAGCTCCACCTGTCATGGATGCTTACCACTTAACCAAACCCATGGACACGGGTATTAAATGAACAGAGGACCTTATTGGGCCTCTTGTATTTTAAACCAAAGACAAGTGGATACTGCCACGGCCAAGGTAGACTACTCCGGCTAAAGAAATGCAGTCACTTTCAAAACACAGATTGACAGAAGGCTGTGCAGCTTCCGCCTCCTGAATGTGACGTAAGAGATGCTCAGTCAAAGGCAGTGACTTAAGACCCAGCCAAAGCAGATATAGAGAATGTTAAGATGGATGACTTACGACCTTTGTCAGGTCATCGTCTAGACAGTGTAATTAGCACCACAAGCAGCATCAGTGCTTGGATGCAAACATTATGGAACTGACATTAGTTGAAAGCTCCTTAGAGTGTTAAATCGTTCCACAGGCTTGATATTATGACAGTGTCACGCAATAGGATAGAGCTTGCTTGGTATTGTCATATCCACTTCCATTTCTGAAAGGTATTCACACAGAAGAAATTTGGTGTCAAAAATCATCCAATGCTGCTCAAATTTTGCACATTTCCGCCCACATTTGACCATTCTTTTTCTGTCAATCGTGTCATTCAATAATGTGTCCAAGTATAAATGAAAGTACTTAATTTTGTTTCATTATTTTCATAAATAACACTTTTAGGCACCTTTTGTTTAACATGCAGAATTGCGTAATGGGGTCCGTCTCCATTCGTATACTACTAGCCTCTTTCTGTGACCTACAAGAAGACTTGTATCTGTATAATACGCCATTATTGCCAAGAATCGATACAAACCAATCGAATCATGCATAGTAAAACGTGAATGAGATCAAATATTTTTTGTGATTATTGATTTTCATTATTATTTCTGTGATTATAAAATTATCTTGTTACTGATATTTGTTAATGAGTGAGTGAGTTTAGTTTTACGCCACACTCAGCAATATTCCATCTATATGGCGGCGGTCTGTAAATAATTGAGTCTGGACCAGACAATCCAGTGATCAACAGCATGAGCATCGATCTGCACAATTGGGAACCGATGACATGTGTCAACCAAGCCAGCAAGCCTGACCACTCGACCCCGTTAGTCGATATTTGTTAATGACATAAGAAACTTATGTAAAGTGACTTTCATGCTATATTATAAATTTCTAGGGGTAGCCATGTTTGGAAATTCAGAGTTATCTTTCCTTGGAAATAGCCCTAGACTATTTTTTATCTCTGTGCTCGTTTGTACTTAGACAAGGCCCAGCCATGAACATGGGCAAGTGAAGGGGTACGAGTCGCCATCCTGCTTGCAGGAATGACACGAGTAGTTACGAATGTGTCCGTCTCGTGTGCATGTTACATTCACGACTGATAATGGCTGATTATCCCATGAGCTTACTAGCATAAAGCTTTAACCAAACAAAATTTTACTTGGATGAATAACGTGTGTATTCTCCTTTGCAATATTTCAGCTATACTGGACAAAAATAGTTAGGGATATATGTAAATTTTGAAATTATGAATAATGATCTATTTATTCATTGACACACTGATAAAAAATCAATCAGAAAAATAGCAATATCCCTAACTTATTTTGTCAGTATATATAATCGAGTCTGAACAAGACAATGCAGAGATTGAAACTATGAGCATATCAACCAAGGTAAAGATGCTGAGGACCAATTGTAACCTGCCATCCCCCTGAGGAAAACAATGAGTAAAAATCTTATGATTATTATTCAGAATCCAACCAAGTGATCATTGCACTGATCTCTTCAAAAACAATAGTATAGTTGGCTTATAGATCAAAGAGTTCAATAATCATCTAGTAAATAGTACTGAGAAATACCTTCGAGCGCATGTACAAAAAGCTCCAAAAGGTAACAGCATATTTCACATCACTGGTGACTGGTCACAAATTTCTGTATGGATTACTTAGTAGGGAGGTCAGGCACGGCGGCCATCTTGTTTTGAAAGTGAAACTAATCAAAATTCAAAACAATTGCTTTCATTTTCAGCAATTGACATTAATCATGTTAATAAGTCTGTTTCAGTATCTTATAACTTTTGTTCATCCAAATAGTTTATGCGTGATATCATACAGGACACTACTTTCATATCGATAATCACTAATATTTATTTCCTTCGACAATAATCTCCATCATCAGTCTCCATCACCAGTCCAAGCTAACACACATAATTGTAGCTTCATTCTGGTTACCCGTGAAGGTCCGGGTTAGAATACTGTCCTCAGTAACCCATGCTTGTCGTAAGAGGCGACTAACGGGATCCGGTGGTCAGGCTTGCAGGCTTGGTTGACACATGTCATCGGTTCCCGATTGTGCAGATCGATGCTCATGCTGTTGATCATTGGATTGTCTGGTCCAGACTTGATTATTTACAGACCGCCACCATATAGCTGGAATATTGCTGAGTGTGGCGTAAAACTAAACTCACTCACTCATTCTGGTGCTTTTATCAACTTACTCATGTAAGGTTACAAAGGTTTTGACTGTGGTACAAATGACAAATGGCTCTGGTAGTCAGTGTTCACTTTTACTTGTAATTACTAGTTTTGAAATTAACCATGGACTGAGAAACTGTGTCTGGGACCGGATGAAAACGTAATGTAAGCTGTTTCATAACACCATGGAGCTTCCTTATCTATCTTTTGTCAAGGCACTGACTGTAGCACAAAACAACATTCACTCACCAAAACCCATCCTTGATCATACATCGTATTACATAGCAGGAAAGGCACTGACTGTAGCACAAAACAACATTCACTCACCAAAACTCATCCTTGATCATACATCGTATCACATAGCAGGAAAGGCACTGACTGTAGCACAAAACAACATTCACTCACCAAAACTCATCCTTGATTATACATCGCATCACATAGCAGGAAAGGCACTGACTGTAGCACAAAACAACATTCACTCACCAAAACCCATCCTTGATCATACATCGTATCACATAGCAGGAAAGGCACTGACTGTAGCACAAAACAACATTTACTCACCAAAACTCATCCTTGATTATACATCGTATCACATAGCAGGAAAGGCACTGACTGTAGCACAAAACAACATTCACTCACCAAAACCCATCCTTGATTATACATCATCACATAGCAGGAAAGGCACTGACTGTAGCACAAAACAACATTCACTCACCAAAACCCATCCTTGATTATACATCATTATCACATAGCAGGAAAGGCACTGACTGACTAGCACAAAAAACAACATTCACTCACCAAAACTCATCCTTGATTATACATACATCAGTATCACATAGCAGGAAAGGCACTGACTGTAGCACAAAACATCATTCACTCACCAAAACTCATCCTTGATCATACATCGTGATCATATAGCAGGAAAGGCACTGACTGTAGCACAAAACAACGGACTCACCAAAACTCATCCTTGATTATACATCGTATCACATAGCAGGAAAGGCACTGACTGTAGCACAAAACAACATTCACTCACCAAAACCCATCCTTGATCATACATCGTATCACATAGCAGGAAAGGCACTGACTGTAGCACAAAACAACATTCACTCACCTACTTACCATCCTTGATCATACATCCAGTATCACATAGCAGGAAAGGCACTGACTGTAGCACAAAACAACATTCACTCACCAAAACTCATCCTTGATCATACATCGCATCACACCAAACATAGCAGGAAAACCACTGACTGTAGCACAAAACATCATCCACTCACCAAAACCCATCCTTGATCATACATCGTATCACATAGCAGGAAAGGCACTGACTGTAGCACAAAACAACATTCACTCATCCACTTCTTACCAATGCCAGCTTTTTTACAGCCAGTAATTATCCTCACTTTTTTTTATGAAACTATGGCCTCACCTTTTGCATATATTTAATCATTTTAAATAAATTGGGGCATTTTGACTATCCCCCTTGGCAATTTGACTGGCACCCCTAAATGGGTGTTTGAATGTAAAAATGTGTCTAGAAAACACAAGCATCAGGTTGCTAAATGCTTGAAGTGAGCAGGTACAAGTATTATCTATTACTGTTGGCATGACATTGGTATCGAACCTCCAATGTTCTGTTCATCATGGCAGATGTTCTTTCCACAAAACCAAGGAAGTGATAGTGTCAGTAAGGATTGCAAGTTGGGCAATTGTGGTGTATTATCTAATCACAGTTGCTGCTATATTTTCTAATAAATACGGTAATATTTAGGTTACAAGGACCCTCAAGCATTGTTTTACATGATTTATTGGTGTAGAATTCCGAACTCTGTCTCATATGCTTATTAATATGTTTAGAATGTATTTTTGAGTGTATTATCTGTGTTGATTAGTAAGTTATTGTGAATGCTGCTGACATTATGTTTTGTCTAAGTTAAATATTAAATATTTTGACACAATCTGAAGCAATTTTGCTGTGATCTTTGCTTAAAATACCTATATCCCCCCTAAATTAGACTCTCATCTACTATAATCGGGAATGTTTCATGTGAAATATAAATGGTTATATATTTGTGTCTACACTTGATCAACTAAGAAACTATTGTCTGTGCAAAGTATGCTCAATTCATTACAAGCATCCTTGTCATAAATAGTGGCGATGAGTCAAGCATAGTTCTTCTTACATGGGTATCGCTCAAACTGAAAGATTTAAATCAGGTTGACCAAATCATACAAGGTTCTTGATTTTAATGGGAATATAGCTGTGGCCACAGTGCTACAGAACTAGCATTTGTAATTCACTAGGGACGTGCCGGTATAAATCGGTGTGAAAATGCCGAACTTGTCCACTTCGGAAACTGACAGGCGCGTTCAACATTCATTAGCATGAAGCAAAATATGACTATCGCGTTGAAAGGAAAATATTTCACACGTTCCCTTAATAGACCCGGAAGCTTATTTGACGGTGGCGTAAGTTGGATCTTGACCAAAAGAAGACATACTGTGTGTTCTTTGTTGCAACTTACCTCAACTTTTTCTTGTCAGCTGGACAGCCATATTACGTCCTGTCGCTTAAGATCTTACACAATCAAATATATCTGGCATATGTGAAAAGAAAAAATCGGACAGCCTTACTGTTAAATAAGTGTCTTGATAATTATATGTGTAGATATATACCATTCCCTTCTCGCTTTCTATGTCGTAGTAGTATTTGTAAGATGTAAGCGGTGCTAATACCGGAAGTAGAATTCTGTTCGCGTGCCGGTTATGAAACGTCGTTAGTGCTTGCCATGTAAATATTCTGCTCTCGTTTTCATCACCAGTTATTTTGAAAATAACATATATAGGATGACGATAGTGTACTGATTTAAAGCTATCTTTCCAATTTGTATTTTGTTTTCGTGGACACGGTGAACCATCCGTCCCAGATCAAGATGCGTGCTGTACTCGCTGTGTGTATGGTGTTTGTCGGCTGTTGTAGTAACGTCGTGTTTCTGGAATTGATTGTCAGGTAAGTTGAATGGTTGGCTGGCTGAGTATGGTTTTACGCCGTTTTTACTAAATATTCCAGCAATATCATGGCGGGGGACACCAGAAATGGGCTTCACAAGTTGTACCCATGTGGGGAATCGAACCCGGGACTTCGGTGTGACGAGCGAACGCTTTAACCACTAGGCTACCCCACCGCCCCGTAAGTTGAATGGAGAGACCGGAGTGTCTAATTGTTGTGTTAGGTTTTATGAATAATTTTAGTATATATTCATTTATAAGTATTATTTGGGATGTGGAACGGAAGCAACTCTTACCCAGGCGCTCAAGTCATTTTAATTCTGTGAATGACACTGGAAGATTCATTCAGCATTCTACCATATAGACCAAAACCAAAAATGAATTCGCTTGGTTAAAGCATAAGTCGTTTTATTTCTGTGAGTGACACTGAAAGATTCTTCCAGCTTTCTGGGGTATATAGACTGAAACCAAAACTAAATCGTTTGATTACAGCTCACTTTCAACCAGTGATAGGTATGAGAAGGAAACAAGGTTTCGATCACAGGGACTTGCAACACACAAAAAAATGTAAATGAAGGTATATACTGACGGGGTCTCAGCATCTTTTATGTAGTGCTAACATGCCAGACTACTATCAGGACCTACAGACTTTTGGCGCTACCTTTCGAATATAGTACCACAAACTTTTAAAATAGTATTATACGTCATATCACCCTTTTATGTAATTTTATGTGATTTTGTTCCAAAGCACATTCTGGAAACAATGCTCTATGATGCTGGGATAGCAACACAGTTGTCTGCTCAGCGAGTGCGTATAAGCTCCGCTCACTGATGTTTCATCTCTACTATCTATATATATCATTGCAAAGCCCAACGATGTTGAGAGTTACCAGTAGTTGTTTACCGGTGGATGCGCAATGTTTCCAAGGCACCAGTTTAAAATAGTTTTCTTTTTTCACTAATACGCTCATATTTATTTGTATTAAGAGGTGCTGAGGTGTTATATTTTGTGTATTTTGTATTTTGTATTTTTTTAATTAAGTAAGAATGTGTTATACCGGTCACATTCTGCCTTATTGTATTATTCGCAGTTTTGATCAATTTAATTATTGAAATATATTCTATATTTGGGTTTCAACGTAACTATTAGGACTAAATGAATTATAAATGAGAACTGATATACATATGTATTTTTTTCATTCAGTAATTTGCATCATTACACAGAAATGGAGTTTATCAGTATTATATTTTTCGAAGCAGTAAGAATGCATTACACTGGACACATCAGCCATTTTCGTGTTGGTTCGGTCAATGTATTCTATTTATTTGGATTATTTCAAGGGGTTAGGGTTTAGGGTTAGGGCTAGGGTTAGGGTAATGTACCCAATATAGTAGGTAGATGTCCAGTGTAATGCATGAGTGCCATTTGTTGTCTTTCCTTTTGCATTTTTAATACTTTTTTTCACACAAAAACGGGAAACCAAAAACGTCGAAATTACACGATGAAACGGTTTAATGTAGACATTTTGGGCTAATGGCAGTCTAAGTAAACTTAGGCTCAGTATTATTCGTTACACTGCTATACTGAGTCTAACAAAACCTTATAGAAGGTTGCGTCAGCTAACCTTTTGGACTGACCAATCAGAACACAGTTTACCAAATCGCGAAAGTTAACATTCGCACAAACCGGTAATACAAACCGATAATAGCGATTTGAAACTATGATCGTTTGTTGAACAACTTTTATCCTAGGATGAATAAAACTCTGAGATTTAAATGTTCAATTGGCAAGGTAAAATTATGAGGATTCGCAATCTTAATTTCACTTGATTTGATTTACATTTTTGTTTAAAGTGAAATTCATCGGTACGTTTTCACTGCAAACAGACTATAGTTGATCAGCATTCTAGTGTTCTTTTTTAAAGCCCCAAATTGTAAGAGCAGATAAATGAGATTACCTGTCAAATTACCTCTTAAGAGGGTAACTTTGGCTAATAAGTATTAAGTAGGGAATGAAATTGACAATATTCTACCGACATTATCATGGAGCCAAGTAGGTCTTGTGCCAATGCTACCAGTGAAGATCCAGGTTAGAATTGGTCTTCACCAACCCATGCCTGTTGCCTGTTGTAGAGGGGACTGACAGGATCAGGTGGTACGATACCTTTTGTTTAGTGACCAAAACTGATTGAACCTGTAGTACATGTATTGATTTTAGGAAGTGGAATGGGGTCACTTTTCAAAATGCATACACTTTTCCCCAAAAAAGATGAACCCATGGTGATCTTAATTGGTAGGCAATGGTTTTAGTTTAAAGGTCACATGCAACCAAAAAATCAAACATAATTAAAACACAATTATCACTTATTCATGACATATAATATACATTGCTGGTTATGAAAAAACATATAAACAAAATTATAAGCTTACAATCGCAAATCAAAAGTGCAATATTGTGTACTTGGGTTTACTTCCCAAGAAACGAAGCAGCCCGGGATACCGAACCCAGTCAGAGCGGGTGGGTGTGCACTCAAGTGTAACGGCTGGTTCATTTGCAGATGGCCTCACGGCTCATTGTGTGTGTATATATAGAGATGTTGGGTTTTGTAAATACATGCTCATTTTTTGTGTATAACATTTTGCAATCAACAGACATCATAACATGTCATGTGTTCAAGTATCACACCTGCCTGTCTGTGTAATTACATAATGTGACAGAGACCGAACTTGGGCCATAAATCAATGCATTTTGTTTATGGTGTGTAGCCTGATTGGTGTTAAGTTCAAATTGCATGTGGTCAGTGATAGCAGCTGTGTATTGAATATTGTCATTAGCAGACAGGCAGGCAGACACACAGGTGTCAATAAAACAAGACATTGAGTTTTGTCTGTGACAACGACATATCTATATCACAGTTAGAAATTCTGTCAACGCTAAATAATGACATTGCTTTTAAGTATCGAACTGAGAAAGTGACTCGGTAAGAAGAACGTGTGGTGAAATAGACAAAAGAAATTATATAAACAGTTAATTTACTGTCATAACATATAAAAAGCTCGCGCCTGTGAGATATCAACAAAACATTAGAAAAATAGCTCTCACCAAAGCCTTCACCGAGTATTCACCGGACAACCCGCTTCCAAGCTGCACGAACCTATTTCAGTGCGCACGTGCTATGAGCGAAAAGTCGGGGGGAAATTAGTGAAACGTTTGAACTCCGATTTCGCGCGTTTTTTTTCATCGCGTTATTTTCAACTTTATAAGTTGAATTTGCATTTTTGATGATTTGTTTCGGTAAGTCCATACCGAAAGGTATCAGAATCTGCAAAGTTGTGTTTTACTTTGCATGTGACCTTTAATGGGCTCTACAGATGGAAGTTAAAACCCGACCTAGACCATTACAGAATATAGGTAAAGAATACTGTCCAGGGAGAGAACACTGCAAAGCCATCTGGAGTACACATCCCAACCTTTACCAACATTTTATTTGTTAAGCTGTCACTGAAGTATGACGTTTTAAAAGTTGGAACAGCTGAATAATACACCTGAAAATTGCCTGTCGGCATGATCAGTAGTTATCTCCCTTCCAAACATGAGCGACAGTATTGGCAGATGACTACCTGAGCAAATAGAATAATTTATATGTGTTGAAAAATGTCAGTCGACCAGTACTTACTGATTATCATGATTATGCTGAGCATCTGTGAAAAAGATTATATCGTGTGCGTACTTATTTATTCTTGTTATTTATTATTATTCCTATGCTCACCTTTTTTTATTTGGACTAGAAGTTGGAAAATAACATTTGATATGTTGGCAGGGGTTGATATTACAGAATGGTTGTCCTGGAAGGAGAGCTGGTTGTATTAAATCTCAATGGAGTTATGATGCTAATAACTCGGTGCACCTAGTGGCTGCAAGAGTTGTATACTCCCCAGGGAGTTGAGATTGATAATAACGATGCTTCTAGTGGCTGCAAGAGTTATATACTGAGATTGACATTCAATGATCGAGGGGAAAATACCAGCGCCTTGAGCATGCACTAGTTGCCTGGATATGTGCGCTATATAAACATCCTATAATAATAATAATAAATAAAAATAATACATGTTACTGCTACTGTGCACCTACATAATTTTATAGTCAGAGTAAAGTCTACTTCCAGTCTCACATTGTCTGGTCCGGTCTCGATTATTTACAGACTGACGCCTAAAGCTGGAATATTGCTGAGTGCGGCGTTAAACAGCAAACCAATCAACCAATCAAACATCCTCACACTCACTTGGATGTAAAAACTATATTTGAGTTTTACAACAGATACTGTTTTAAGGTTCATGCTTTACACAGGGCATGCCTACCCTTTTGTGGTGCGGATTACTGTATGTCCATGTAAATTTTCTGTTTCAGTGAAATCCCTAGCGCTGCCAACATCATTACATTCTTCCAGTTTTTCTTCATCAGTGTAGAGGGCTTTATATTCACTGCCAAGTTAGGAACGAAAGCCTCCGTGATTCCACTCAGGTATGTCCTATAAACACTTTGTGACAACAGGGGATTACGGTTACTGAAAGCATGGTACAACATCAGAATGTACAATTTCTTCTTGCAACAGTAAGGCAAAAATAGCAGTCGTTCTTGAAGCCCTTTTATTCATAAGTAACAACAGAGTTAGAATTAGTCTTCAGCAACCCATGCTTGTCGTAAGAGGTGACTAAGAGGATCGGGTGGTCAGGCTTGCTGACTTCGTTGACACATGTGATCGTATCCCAGTTGCATTGATCGATGCTCATGCTGTTGATCTCTTGATTGTCTGGTCCAGATTTACAGACTGCCGCCATATAGCTGGAATATTGCTGAGTGTGGTGTTAAACAGCAAACACTGTTGACTTTATGTGACTGTTTCCAAGCAGTGCAGATCAATGTCTAACATTCGATATATCAACCACCAGTTTGTCTGACTTGATTACAACTCGGCTCAAGGGTATAGCTGGAATATGCTGACTGATATTTAAAATAACAAACCAACAAACGTTCCTAATTTAAACAGTTCATGAAAAGTATTACCTCTGACTTTTCGAATTTTATTAAACTGAACAAATATCACAATCAGCTCTCAGCATGCTCAGTACCTGAACCACTTTGACAGAAGTCTTTGGCCAACATCCCATTGTCCATTTGTAGTTCAGCATAGGAATTGTTATGCTGAACACTGGCTAGTATATTTTGGAAGATATTGGCAGCGTAGGGTAGCAAATAGCATCTCTTAAACCAGTTTCACAAAGTGTCACAAAGCACTGAATGAAACTAAACAGATTTATGTCTGAACAATTTATTTTATTTTATTTTTTCCCCCACATTTTTCACTATAAAGGCGTCCAAGTTCTGGAGCTTTTGTGAGACCTGAACTTCCAACTATTTTATTATCTTCCTTTTGAAAGTGTAAATGTACATTAAGGCATTAATCTCACTGATCTAATTTTCATATCATCGTGATAATGTCAGACCTTGTACTTGTAATGTTTGGTTTATGAATCCACTGACACTTATGTGAAGATATAAAGTTCAGAAGGAAAAACACCAAGGGATTTTTAAAGGTCCAAAACATAATTTTTTCAAGATAAATTTTCATTCAAAGTCAAATGATAATGATTGAAAGGACAATCCTATGCTATGCTTATTTTTTATATCCTTTGGACAGACAGACAAATTATCACAGTGAAAATCTGTAATTCCTCAAAGGAGCCTGGCCCAGTAAAGCAATATGCTTTCAATGATGTGGTTGAGTATATGACTTATATGGTCATTCAGTGTCTCTAGTGATGTTTTATCTCAAAGTTGGGGCGGTGGGGTAGCCTAATGGTTAAAGCGTTGGCTCGTCACGCCGAAGACCTAGGTTCGAATCCCCACATGGGCACAATGTGTGAAGTCCATTTCTGGTGTCCCCCGCCGTGATGTTGCTGGAATATTGCTAAAAGCGGCGTAAAACCAAACTCAGTTAGTTAGTTAGTTATCTCAAAGTTAAAATGTTTATTGGCCAAAGTTGTTAATACGTGTTTGCTGCTACCTGAATTTGCTTAAGAGAAATGATGTCCTTTCTAATCTACGCACAGAAATTAAAAAAATAAAATAAAAATATTTTAATTGGGTGCACATTGTGCTTTAAAAATATGCTGTATTAACATTGAATCGAAGTTAGCCATGCGACTGAAACAACACAGCTGCTGTAGAGGTTGTAAAGGTGGTTATCTTGTTGACATAACCTGGATATTGATTTGCTAAGTCATACAGCTTATCCCTTTTCAACATATTGAAACCTTAAGTGAGTTTTTGTCATGTTTAGCCGAAACTGTTTTCTAATTAGTTAACAGATTTCCTTTACCTTTAACTATTGACAAGAAGAAAAACATGGCATATATAACCCACTCTTTTCATTCCATAGAAAGTAAACTTGCATGTTAAGCACAAAACATGTATAAACTTTGGGTAGTATGAGTAGACAGCTGAATCATGAGACTCTTCTCAAGTTGCATCATGCATAGATAATATTTGTAAGAATTTGAAAAAAAACCCACTGAGATTTGTTTATTTTTCTCACCAAAGTCACCTGTTTTTTTCTAAAACAAATTTCTGGATTTTTCTCTGACCAGCAGTTTGGAGAGTTATGGTATCAGAGTAAGAGATTTGAATTTTAATGAGAAAGGCCATCCTCACTCAAGGCCTGCTTGTGTTTATTTTATCATGTACTCTAAAAGATGATGCCTATTCTAAATTTTGTAAAAGTTCAAAGGTTAATATAACCTCATGCTCATTTTGGATATATACTGAGGGAAAAAATTAAGGGATCACATGAAAGCACAAGTCTTCCTTTATTCTTTTCAAAGGTTTCCTCACAAGCTTTGTATCGCATAGCTTGTGAGGAAACCTTGGAAGTGAAAAAAAGGAAGACATTTCTCACACATTGAGCTGAAACTCCATAACATGACTGATGTAATATTTGAAGTGGCCTTGTTAACTCGCTCATGACTTCTCTGTAACAGTATTTGCTTGTTCTCCTACATGCTGCAGGGAGTACCTGAAAATCACCTTCATATATATGGTGACAGTGGCTTTACACAACATCCTTCTCCTCTACAAAGTGCCTATACCCATTGTAGTGCTTTTAAAAAGTGTAAGTCAGGGGGGATAACTCTCATTTCCTACCACCCTAGACTGGGTTTGTTTGTGTTGACTTGGTTCTGTTGTGTCCTTTGCTTCACTTTGCCATCCCAGTTCACATGTGTTAGCATGTATTGATCCGTGTGCTTAGTTATATTTATTTTCTGTCAATATTATGGTTGTATTTAACTTTCTATGATTCATAGATGTGTGTGATATCACTGGGGAAGGGGCCCATGTTGTTGATGTGTGTAAAAGTCATCCTCTCCTGCTCCCTGACTGACTGTTGGTTTGAAGACGTATTCAACATGTGTTTGGGTTGAGTTTGATCCCCTCCCTTACCTGCCTTCTGTTTCCATTGTCCAGGGATGAGAATTTTCCGCGGAATTCCGGGAATTTCATAAGGCCAAGGGTCATTTTTGTGAATCGTCTAAATCCGTTGACAATTGTATGAATGTGCTTCAGCAGATTTAAAGTTTGTTAATGGTTGCTGTGTTCATGATATTGTCATTTCTGAGCCTGTTTTAAAGGTCTAAAATGCCTAAATATCAGGAGCTTCGGCTAGTTTTTTCTCAAAACTTCATTCTCATCCCTGATTGTCAGACATTATCTATGAAAAGTGGAACATGACAGCTGTGTCAGTAAAGTAGTGTTCTTGTGATCCAATCTCATTAAAATCAGATTATTACTTTGATATGACTCTCTGTGTGAAGATCTGAGATCACCTCCAAAAGAGTTCTTGTCAGTTGAACTTTCTCCAATCAGCCATCACCACTGAGGCTTCACAATCCATAGTATGAATATGAAATGTATTCAGATCAACATAGGGGCAGTGGGGTAGCCTAATGGTTAAAGCGTTGGCTCGTCACACCGAAGACCCGGGTACGAATCCCCACATGGGTACTATGTGTGAAGTCCATTTCTGGTGTCCCCCGCCGTGATGTTGCTGGAATATTGCTAAAAACGTTGTAAAACCAAACTCAGTCAGTCAGTCAGATCAACATATCATATTTCTTTATCTTGAAAACAAAGTTAATGAGCCTGTTCCTGATACATACAATAAAGGGTCTAGTATATCGTTGTATTTTAAACACCCTGTCGTTTTTGACTGCCGTGGTTGTAGTAGGTTCAAACCCATGCATCGTGCCGACGATGCTAAAACATGGTACTTGTTGTTACCCAGCATGAGCTGGGAATAATCATAATAAAAATACATACTTCATTTTTCGGAGTTGGTCAGGAAGGCATCATGATATTTCCATAAGTTAGCACGGTATAACGGATGTAAGTCCTGGATAGCATTGTACATAGCAACCTTAGCATGAGTGTTACGATAACCTTAGCACTTACATCGTTTTGTACATGAGCACCCAAATCAGTACATGCAATCACAAACACAAACATTTACCTACACTTGGTTACACTTCAAATTCGGGCATTCAGATTCTGCTTCAAGAGGACAAAACGAAACCCCGCCATGTTTTCGGAAGCTTAAATGTAGAACACATACAGACCTCAAGGTTCACTCGTGGTTCACAACATACGACCATATATGGTAGATGTGAAGATTCGAGTTAGACCTGATCATCAGCAACCCATGCTTGTTGTAAGAGGCGACTAGTGGGATCGGGTGGTCATGCTCGCTGACTTGGTTGACATTTTTCTGTAGATCCCAATTGCGTAGATCGATGCTCATGGTATTGATCACTGGATTGTCTGGTCCAGATTCGATTATTTACAGACCGTCGCCATATAGCTGGAATATTGCAGAGTACGGCGTAAAACTAAACTCACTCTTTTAGAGATTCGTGTTGTCGCAGACATGGTAAACATCTGATTTTAATGAGATTGCCTGTGATCCTTTATAATCAGTAAAAGATGGTATGTGACAGATAATATTTGTTTTCACCAATCCTACACAAACAGCTCAAATTGAGAGTTACTTGGATAATGACCTACTGACTGATATGGAGCGAAATGGTAATAAAACCTGAGGAAGAGTTTAAAATGATACCATTTCAAAATAATATAACTAACATACAATACAGGACAAATAAAAGCTTGCTACTAATATAGAATATGTATTTGTCAGTGAATGAACCTGATATGCTCTGATGGTGATCGTGGTAATCATGTTTCTGGATCACACGTAGCAATAGTATATGTCTGAAAAACTTAATTCTGATATATTGGAAAAATTGTTTCATTAATACTAAATGTATTCCTCATTGTACTATGATTAGTGAGCCCTTTTAGCTCACCTGAAAGGCAAGTGAGCTTACTTCATGGCCTGTTCTCCTCAGAGGCCACTGGAGCAATGAAGCAGAAACTTCAGATACTGGTTCCAACCAATATCTCGCTAATTTGTTCATAAAGTTAATTCTCAATATGTCCACCATGGCAGCCAGAGTGAAAAACGTCTTGATGGCCATTGCTCAGCATACTTAGTTCAAATTGTAATATTGGGCTAGCCTAATGGTTAAAGCACCCGCTCATCATGTTGAAGACCCAGGTTCGATTCCCCACATGCGTACAATGTGTGAAGCCCATTTCTGGGGTCCATCGCCATGATATTGCTGTAATATTACTAAAAGCAAACTAAACTCACTCTCTCGAAAGTGTTGACAGCATATCCAGGTGATCTACAGTACCTAAGTTTCATGTATTTTGATAACCGTAATGTATTTTTCATAACCGTAATGATATTTTCCTATTGTAATGTCTCTTATGACTGCTCTACTACTCTTGGCTGCGTATTTCTGCTCTGATTCTTCTTTTGTTAGGTATTTGTTATGACTGATTATACATTGCATAGAATGATATTTGAAGTACATAATATATGATTATACTTTTGTATACACATTCAACAAATAATGCAATTGGTTTAAATAATGCACACACAAAAGCCATGGAGGATATTTGTTGTGTAAATTTCCTGAAATATTTGTTTGATCATTGACTTGTTCAGAGATGAAAGGGTACACCATTACATTAAACAGGACCCGTATAGGTACGGGGCAGAATTGGTTTTCAACAGCAGATGTAAGAGGCGACTTCAGGCTGATTTCAAGATGTTAGGCTTGATTGCTTGGTTTGAACATGTCATCGTATCCCAGCTGTGTAGATCAATGCCCATGCTGTTGATCACTGGATTGTCTAGTCCAGACTCAAATATTTACAGACTGCTGCAATATAGCCGGAATATATAGCCGAAAACTTGCCATCCCTGCACATCAAGCTTGCATCATATACATGCCATGATTTAAAAAAAGGCAGTTAAAAATGGCATTAAACCCAAACATGCATGTACCATAGAAAACTTTAGAAAAATATTTGTTTACAAAGTTTGCGTAAAGTCAAAACGCACCAGACCTGATCCATTGTGAGTGACTTGTGACATTGACAGCAGTATTTAAGTGAGTGTCAGCCTTTGTCAAACAATCTAGGCTAGTTTTATGTCAACATGACATTTGATCATATCTGAATGAAGATATTCAGCCATTAACATTTTCAGTAGACATAATCAGTTGGGATTTCCTTCTTTATACTTATGATATTGTACTTTCTCCTCATCAAATTTGTCAAAATGTAAAAAATAAACAACATACCATCTGGCCGTAGGTATCTTTTACCAAATGTAAAGTCAAAGAGAAGTAAATACTCGTTTATACCAGTTAGCATATCCTGTTTAAACAAGTCTTAACATTATTCTCTTAGTATATTTATTGCTAGATGTTTTTCTTATAAATACTGTTGTTTACTATACATTCAATGTCATTGTTCAAGTCTTAAATGTTGTTTTCTTATATTCTTAACTGTGATGTACACAAGATTCTCTTTCGGGCAATAAAACATTATCTTATCTTATCTTATCTTAACATAGAAATCATCATATCTTCAAGTCATTTAATACAGTATTGGTAAGACTAACACTTAGTCTGTGCAGACATGTAATTAAGGGCTAATGTTACAGCTCCTTTTAAATTGAAGAGGAGTCCCCGTGATCTGAGAGATTCAAAACCTGAGGAAATCTAGACTTTCTTCATTTTGGGCTATGAATAGTAGAAGGGCTTGTTGGAAGGAGTATTAATGCAGCTCAGGGACAGAGAGACAGCCAGAGTACTGGTTACAACTTTCCATTCAATTGAGGATGCTAAACAGAGCAGTGAGAACAAATCCATGTTTTTTGAGGATGGGATATTTTCTACAAGCCACTTCCCAACATGCCCTATATGTTCTGTAATCTGTATTGCCCTGCTTCAGTTGGTACACTGAGAAACGCTTTACAAAACCACACTGCATGCATTTGTTGGTTAATACAGGGCGGACACATAATTGGGTTGTTTTTTCCAATAACAGATACCGGGTATTAATATTAGAAAATCCAGTGTTACCGTATAAATCCAATTTATCCGGTGTACAATTATAGCAACCTGTGTGAACATGATGAAATAATTAAATCTTCCCTCTCACAGTTTATTAGTGAATACAAAATACTAGGAAGTGATATATGTTTCTCTGTGTAATGAAATCTGCCTGCTTGACAAGCAGGGCATGTAGTCTGGTGGGGAGGCTCACTGGTGACAAACCTGTGAAGATCCATGTTAGAATTGGTCTTCAGTAACCCATGCTTGTCGTAAGTGGTGAATAACGGGATCGGGTGGTCAGGCTCACTGACTTGGTTGACGCATGTTATCGGTTCCCAATTGCTCAGATCGATGCTCATGCTGTTGATCACTGGATTGTCTGGTCCAGGCTCGATTATTTACAGGCAGCTGCCATATAGCTGGAATATTGCTGAGTGAGGCGTTTATCAACAAACCAACAAACCAACCAACAATGGTGACATGTTTGAGAATGTGTATAACCCTACTACCTTCTTGGTCTAACAAATGACAAATCATGTATCATAAATATGGACTGAATTAATCTGTTTCATCAGTGTAACAAATATGTATAGCTATATAGATGTCATGGCCATTCTTGAGAGAACCGTATTAACACAATTTAAAAACTACTGAGTATTTCTTCAGATTGATTGTTACCGGGTTAGCACTGGCTTGAAAACCCCCTGAAATGTGGACATTTTAGCCTAAAAAGGACCTAAATTTGTTTCTCATTGAAAAGGGCCTAATTGCTAGTGATTTGACCTAAAAAGGTCCAATATTAAGCAAAATGTGTCAAGTTTACAGGAAACTAATACATAATGAAAGTACTTTCAATGACAGTGGGTTTTAAGAGTTATTTCCCTCTGATAGTCAGTCCCACATTTGACCAACATTGTGTGTATTCAATTTATTATGTGTTATGTATTTCTAAAGTTCCTTAAAATTGTTGATTAGGTCTTGAAAAGCCCCTGAAAAGGTCTTAACTTTGATGGCTGATAATCAGTACCAACCCTGTTTTAAAAAAATAGCATATGATTGTTACTTGGTACAAAATATATGTGGAACGGTACCTACATGCTGCTACCTTAACTCCCTCCCTTAGCTCCCCTGAAAGTTGGCACTTTCTGATTTCACCCATAGTGTTTACTTTGATTATCGTAGTCCATATTGCATGCTCTGCTATGTTTAATTCTTTTCTACCAGGTACTATGTGCTAATGGTGGCTATGTTTTTCGTTGTGCAAGTCGTAAACATGCAAGCCTTCAACTTCAATATTTCTATGCCTCTACACATGATATTCCGGTCGGTGAGTATGAACCCTGTTTCTGTCAAGTATACAACTCTTTATATCCTCATCCTTTGTGATGTAGTTGTGTTTAGATTTTTATAAACAATTTACTATCAATTTTCTTTCAAACATTAAATGTAAAGTGAAAATTCAGAATACATAATGAATGCTCCCTAACATGCCTGAACCCATGAAGATCCGTGTTAGAATTGGTCTTCAGCATCCCATGCTTGTCATAAGAGGCAACTCACGGGATTGAGTGTTCAGGCTCCCTGGCTTGGTTGACACATCATCGTATCCCAGTTGTGTGGATCGATGCTCATGCTGTTGATCACTGGATTGTCTGGTCCAGACGCGATTATTTACAGACCGCCACCATATAGCTGGAATATTGCTGATTGCGGCGTTAAACAACAAACCAACCAATCTAACAAGCCTGGGTGTTATTGTCAGTTATTAACATTTCAAAAATATTTGTAAGTTTTTTAACAAATGCAAGAATTGATTATGAGTTATATCAAAGTTTTTAAAATGATATTTCATCAAGTCTATTTTTTGCAATTTTTCATATCGTTGTATGTACATGTGTATATCTACAGGCAACAGACAGGAAATATTGATGGGCAGATAGCCATCTGGTTTAAATGTAGTTTGTGTCCTTCAAATACTGTCAAACAACACTGTTTGGCATGTCAATCATTTCCAAACACTGAGTCTACTAGCCTAAATCTGTCTTGTCATCATTTACAGTTGATTTTAGTGTTAATAAATGAGCTTTTATTTCCAAAGTGTACTCACCTGAAAATTTATTGTTTTTTTACAAGACACAGACTGTAGACACGTGTTTTATATCATAGAATGGAGTACTGGTTCACCTCTGTTAACAAGCATTCGCAGGGAGTGAACCTCATTAGGTTTATATAGGACTGGGGCGGTGGGGTAGCCTAATGGTTAAAGCGTTGGCCGAAGACCCGGGTTCGAATCCCCACGTGGGTACAATGTGTGAAGCCCATTTCTGGTGTCCCCCACCGTGATGTTGCTGGAATATTGCTAAAAGGCGGCGTAAAACCAAACTCTGTCAGTCAGTTATGTAGGACTGTGGCAGTTTGATTCTTAAAAATGCTTGATTTTTTAAAAAATGTGATCTTGATAGACATTTCTTTATACATCATTTTGATATTGCAATAATCAAATGACTATGTAGATGAAATCACGGTTAGCCAAGTGGTTAAAGAATTCACTTGTTACCCCAAAGACTCTGGTTCGACACCCCAAGTGGGTACATTATGTGAAGCCTAATTCTGGTGTCTCCCTGTGATATTGCTGGAGTATTACTAAAAGTGGCATAAGACCCAACTCGCTCACTCAGGTTTGCAAGAGTCGACTAACGTGAATGGGTGTTGAGGCTTACTGACTTGGTGCAAAACATAGTCAACATACCTCAGCCATGTGGATCACTTGTCTTAATATCTATCACTGGATTGTCCAGTCCATGGGTACAATGTATGAAGCCCATTTCAGGTGTACCCTGCCGTGATATTGCTGTAATATTGCTAAAAGTGGCGTAAATCCAAACTCACTCACTCACTCACTGTAGCTGGAATATTGCTGACAACAATGTAACACAATAGACAACAACATTCACACTTGGGATGCTTCAGGATTCATATTCCATTCCATCATTTTCCAGGATTTGTCATTAACAAGTTTTCACTGTTTATTGAATTGATGCTCTTTCCAGATAGGTTTTTATCAGTGTATATTCACGATGCCTGGCTTAATTTGTTATTTTGCTCATGTTTGCTTATAATACTAAGCCGCAGTGTTGTGCTTGTCCCATTTGAAATCCTACAGTGTCCGGAATTAAACATTAGCCCATTAACCCATTAACCCATTATCCCAGTGACAGTAATAACTTAGCGTGACACTGGAATTGCAGAATGTTTGGTATTGTTAGGTTGTACAATAATTTCAAGGAGACAAACTATTGTTAACTATCAGAGTGATTTTCCAGGAGTTCTTCAGCTAGTCCATATTGTCATGCTTGATTCCACACACTCAATCGGACTTCTTGGTCATCTGTTGGTGTTTCGTCCTTCCACTGTCACCTGTCACTGTCAAACCTTTCAGACTGACCCTCAGAATGTTTCATATCAGACTGGCAGTTTGACTCATAAAATTTCTTGAATTATTTGAATTGTGATCTTGATAGTCACATCTATACATAAAAATATGCAATTTTCAATGAAAATATAGATTCATATCTCTTCTTATGATTGTATGTTTCATGATACATTTATCAGCTTTCATTCATGTCTTAAAATATTTCGTTAAACCAACCCTTATAAAGACTTGCTTCCTGGCAAAAGTTCATACCAATCAGAACATCTAAATGTCAGATTTTCAGAAACACATTAATTCTTCGCAGGACAAAACTCCCATCAAGAAATGGACTATTGGTACTGAGTAATGATAATGGCCATTTGTTATGCGCTGTAATCACACACTAGTGCATGCTCAAGGCACGTGCTCAAAGCACAGACATTATTACCCCGGATAAACCAAGCTGCCACTTGGTACCCATTTTCTGCCGAGTTGAGTGAAATTGTCTGAATAAATGGACAAAGGGTATTGAGCAAGATGGTTTTCCCAATGATAAGAAATGTAGAAGGGATGCCATCATATAGCACAATTGGATTTATCAATATTTTTCATACCATGTTGTCACAAATTTATAAAATTCAAAACTGAAGTGATTATTCTCAGCCTGATATCTGCTAAGATAACAAGGCCGAAATTGATATTAACATATTTAGTGGATTAACCAAGTTAATATTTCACTTAATTAATTACAGGTCTAGATAGATATTTTAACTAATTTTTAGTCAGTGCATGCATACACATTTGCTTTCGAGTCAATGCTAAACCTACCTATCAGTGACAACCACAGAATATACAGTTGCGTTTTTCCAATACTACTTCATGTACTACAGGGATAGTAAATACCATGTAATAATAGCTATATTGGGCTAGTGAAGCTATTGTGTAATTCCTAACACTGTGTCCCCTCCGCATGCCCACCCAAACTGTACGTTGATATCTCAAATATGTTACACCTGTGTTTGAAATTAAGCATCCACGGTTTTGGATTCCTGCTACCATGTATCCCAACATCAAATGTTTCTTAATTGTCCCTGGCTTCAAAACAAATTTAAAACTTAAGGACATCCTAATTTCCAACACTGTATAAAACTGTTTGCATATCATTAATTTGAAAATTTAAATGTAAACTATGCAGTGCTATGACTTAGTCCAAGGGACATAATCCTGTAGTGTATTAACTTCAGTTATTATCTCCCCTTGACTATACACTGATCTCTCACAGGCCCAGGAATAGAATAAAGCTTTTGATCTGTTTATATTATATTTTCTTGCAGTAATCACTCACTAACAAATTACTGATAAAATGCTGAAATGCATTACTAACAATTCAATGTAAATAATATTAATTGTTATTAATACTATTTTATCAATGTTCATGTTTGTAATTCACACACGTTTCACTTGCAGGCTGTAATTTCATGCTGTATTGTCGATGTATTGTCAACAAACTCTGGTTCTGATTACAGGGATCCCTTGTTGCCAACTTGATTCTTGGAATAATTATACTGAAGAAAAGGTAAATTCATTAATGACATCACAGTATTTCCATGTATTGAGATGTCTGGACATGCAGAGTGTTTTCCCCCTGGCAGTAGATTCCATTGTTTTGTATAAATTGTTTGTATCCATATTTTGACTATAGTGTGTCATGGTCATCATGTAGATGACTGGTTAGATTGGAGATTATACTGGGGTATCTGTGTAAAACTGACATGGTATATCAGTGGACTCCGACATATGTACACTCACACACAGCCACTTGCAAAGCTACAGACAGCCTAACAGACACACACAAGCTTTGGGTAGAGAATTGGAAATGTCGTCCATGGGAAAAAGTATTAAGATTACTGATTTGAATATTGTAGTGTCAATATGTTTTTTAACATATACATGTATGTACCCGTGAAGGTCCGGGTTAGAATATTGATCCTCAGTAACCCATGCTTGTTGTAAGAGGCGACAAACGGTATCGGGTGGTCAAGCTCGCTGGCTGGGTTGACACATGTCATCTGTTCCCAATTGCGCAGATTGATGCTCATGCTGTTGATCACCGGATTGTCTGGTACAGAATCGATTATTTACAGACCGCCATCATATAGCTGGAATATTGCTGAGTGCGGCGTAAAACTAAACTCACTCACTCACTTTAATATATTATATAGAAGTTACATTTGGGGTTACACTTTCTCAGTAAAGTACAGGTTCTAGTACTTTTGTTGGGTTGAGTCCCATCCAGGAATGAACCCACACAGGCACTTAATCACAGCAGTTTGGAAACTGGAATCCTAAATATAACATATATGTTTGCATTTGACCACCTTCTCAATGTCATTGTGTATTCATAGATAATATTTTACATAAACGGCTGTGATAATCTATAGTTTTAGTTGACGTACACAAAACATTAATGTCTTTATTCATGGACTGCTTCTAGAAATTCAGAGCCCTGTGTTTTTGTTGTAATCTGTTCATAAATATGTTACCACTCACCCAGTGAAGTTACTTCTCTGATATTTATTGATGATGTGATGGATAGTTGAGGATTATCAATCACTATACTTAGGGGATAACTGTACTGTGTTTGACGAATTGGGGATGTATACCGGTGATTATATAGCAGCAAAATTTAGTTATATCAGCGACGCGTAAGCGGAGCCGATATAAAGTTAAATTTGTGGCTATATAACCACCGGTATACGTCCCCAATTCGTCAAACACAGTACAGTTATCCCCTTTCTAATTCAACTCGTTTTAGGCTGTTGTTTCGGGGAAAGAAATTCATTATTTAAACCAAGTCAAAGTTTTTCTAGGTCAAAGGTAAATCATATCACTCCTTGAACTTACTCCATCGCCAGAAAAAGTAGTTCCCTTTCAAACTTCAACACGTTTATTATGTGCACACTGACTAAATCTGACAATGATGAATAAATTATAGTGTTATAGCTAAAATGGACAGAATTATCATGAAACCTCCCTCTATAGTTATCAGAAATGATTGGGCCGCTGCAAATGATAATGGCCCGGTGATTCCTCAACTACGGGCCACTATCTGTTCTGTTGTCAAATGACGTCACAGCAGGTGACGTCACGCTCCATAATGACGTCATAAATCTTGTTTCATGACCTAACAGTGCTGGGTCAATAGCCCGTTGCGAGTGAGTTGTTTGAACTTACAATTAAATTTATGATACTGTTTTGTCTTTTTTAACACAAATTCCATCCATTTTAGCGGATATTGGGGAGTTAAACTGACCTAGGGCTTCTGCAAATGACAATGCCCTGAAAAACAGCGTTACCCCAATAGTGTAGGGATACATTCAAAGGTTTTGGTGAATAGGTTTTCAAATTTCGACCGTATATGCTGATTATACGGTCGGAAATTTATAGCATTGACCAATCAGAACTCGTGTTACATACTAAGTTGAATTATTGCATATTACACAGTGAAACACTGATTGGGTTCATTGGTCATATGGACAGAGTGTCCCACCTCAGACCAGAAGGTCTGTGGTTCGAATCCCACCACGGAAGTCGTAGCTGTGAGTGGGTAGCCTAGTAGTTAAAGCGTTTGCTCATCATGCCAAAGACCCAGGTTCGATTCCCCACATGGGTACAATGAGTGAATCCCATTTCTGGTGTCCCCCGCCGTGATATTTGTTGGAATATTACTAAAAGTGGCATAAAACTAAACTCAATCATTATGGAAGTTGAAAATTTTGTGTCTACTACAGTTTGTTATGCAGCATGATGTTGGAGCTCATGCTATCAGCTACTGATGCGTCTTGCCTTGATTTGATTATTGACAGGGAGCAGTGGCAGTAAGTAGCTGTGAGTGACTGAGTGAGTTAAGTTTACACCACTTTTAGCAATATTCCAGCAATGTCACGGCAGGGGACACCAGAAATGGGCTTCACACATTGTACCCATGTAGGGAATTGAACCTGGGTCTTCAGTATGATGAGCAAACATTTTAACCACGAGGCCACCCCACTGTCCCGATAGTATCTGTGACATTGCAAACAAAACGTTCATACTGTCAGTGGTTTACTGCATATATTCATCACACTGTTACCTGCTCTTTTCAATTGCATTGTTACCCATTTGCAATCAGTTTATACATATGATTAAGAGCTATATTTAATTACTCCCGGTATACAGCTGATGACTTGTGTGTATTTTGCAGCAAGACAACCCAGGTCATACAGGTGATGCTGCGTATGACTACCTCATGTGGCTTGTGGGTACGTATAACTCTACCTGGAGTGTGTACTGATCACAGTCATTAAATCATGGTAAAATTTAATATTGTAACAAAATCAGCATATTGTATGAATTGATTTGAATGAAGAGAGCTGTCTCCCTTTCTACAGACACATGACTACATGTTATTCTTATATTTATAATACTTGTTGCCTGTGCATCCAGACGTTTGTGAAATTCTGTATTATGCGTGGTACCTTCTTGCAGGTGTAGGTGTGTCAGAGAGTTGTCTCCCTTTGTACACACACACACACACACACACACAGTTCAGACATTGTTATTTTTTAGTGATATTTGTCAACCCTGCAACAAGATGTTTGTGAATCTCTGTATCATCTCTTGCAGGTTTGGGTTTGCTGTCCTTTGCACTGTTTATGTCGGCATGGATGGGAATATTCCAGGAACAGACATACTCCAAGTTTGGAAAACACCCCTCAGAGGCCCTATTCTATAACGTGAGTATCTGTTCTACTAGTGAGTGCCCTGGACAACACCTTCATGTCAATGTTGCTTTTTACTATGTAAGTGTGTGTAACGACTATTGTGTCAGGTACTTTCTTGAGGCACCCTTTGGAATTGGGAGTAAAAATAGATCACCTTCAACACGTGCGTGCGCGTTGGGGCGTGATGAAATGGGTTGGATCTTGAGGTTAATTTGTGTTCAGTGCCTGCATGTTTTGATGTACATAATTCATATTTGCTGTCAAATACTCCAAAATTTTCAATATCCTTTCATCAAAGTGTTTTATCCATTTCTAAGAAGAATGGGTTATGATCTCGTGTCATATGATAGATCTTAATTACAAGCGATCTTGTAGGAGTTGTCTCATCCAGCTGGTCTTGTGTTCATAAATCATTTATCGACAATTGATCAACAGAAGACATCGATAATCGATTATGGTTTTAGAGGTCGATTCCCCTTAAAAGTCAGTAAGGTAAAGTCAGTAAGTAAGGTACAGTAAATAAGGTAAAGTCAGTAAGTAAGGTGCCACTCATGTCCTGTTGTGTGTGTCCCAGCATGCCCTTCCACTGCCGGTCTTCTTGTTGCTGGCATCCGACATCTACAGCCATGCCGGCATCTTCAACCAATCAGGTGAGTGGTAATCTCTTGTATAAGCCCAGTGGGATAATAAATAATAATATTTCAACTCCAAAATGGTTGAATATTTCTGGGTGCAACTTGTTTTACAGTCAAGTTAAGATTGTTATAGGTACAGCATTATTTTGTCTTTACTGATGGCAGTAAGCCAAAAGTGGGATATGCTTTTTGAACGATTGTAATATTTCAGTCCCCTTCCTTGACCAACTGACAAGTTTACAAACGCTTCATTTACTTTTGGTGATGGGAAACTTAATCATTATAATTGTTAATGATGTACATTGTGCAAGACTATTTATACACTATATATATACACATGTACTCTTGGCTGGAGGGGGGCGGTGGGGTAGCCTAGTGGTTAAAGCGTTGGCTCGTCATGCCGAAGACCCGGGTTCGAATCCCTTAGATGGGTACAATGTGTGAAGCCCATTTCTGGTGTCCCCCGCCGTGATGTTGCTGGAATATTTCTAAAAGCGGCGTAAAAACCAAACTCAGTCAGGCAGTCAGTCTGGGCTGGAGGCCTTTGATACTAAATAAAGAATCTTGAATCTCGGCTCCCCTTCCTTGACCAACTAGCAACAGGTATTTTCAAGGTTGGTAGAAGGGACAATATACAGGATGGAACATGTCTATGTATGTTTCAGCTCCAATGCTAGTGCCAGTGATAGGCATCACTCTCCCCAAGATGTGGGTCTACTTGATCTTCAACACTCTCACACAGTATCCTTTGTCAACCAGTCTCACCCAGTCTCAACCAGTGTCTTCCAGTCTCATCCAGTCTCAACCAGTGTCTTCCAGTCTCACCCAGTCTCAACCAGTGTCTTCCAGTCTCATCCAGTCTCAACCAGTCTCAACCAGTCTCTCCCAGTCTCACCCAGTCTCTCCCAGTCTCACCCAGTCTCAACCAGTCTCATCCAGTCTCCCCCAGTCTCGACCAGTGTCATCCAGTCTCGACCAGTGTCTTCCAGTCTCATCCAGTCTCAACCAGTCTCAACCAGTCTCTCCCAGTCTCACCCAGTCTCTCCCAGTCTCACCCAGTCTCAACCAGTCTCATCCAGTTTCATCCAGTCTCCCCCAGTCTCATCCAGTCTCCCCCAGTCTCATCCAGTCTCCCCCAGTCTCATCCAGTCTCAACCAGTCTCTCCCAGTCTCACCCAGTCTCTCCCAGTCTCATCCAGTCTCAACCAGTCTCGTCCAGTCTCATCCAGTCTCATCCAGTCTCTCCCAGTCTCACCCAGTCTCTCCCAGTCTCAACCAGTCTCAACCAGTCTCATCCAGTCTCATCCAGTCTCAACCAGTCTCGTCCAGTCTCACCCAGTTTCACCCAGTCTCAACCAGTCTCATCCAGTTTCACCCAGTCTCAACCAGTCTCGTCCAGTTTCTGGGATTGTTAGCACCATACACCTATGCTCATAAAGTTCCTGAAAGTGGTAAAACACAGAGGCTTTTCGTATTCGTTGCAATTTTACACCCAAAATTATAGCGGTATGATGACCTCACTGAAAGTATGAATTTTTTAAGCTTTTTGCATGTCATTATTTGATGTTATTAAGACCACATAAATGTGGCATAAATGTCATAAATTACACTTTTGTCTGTCAAAATACTCAAGATCCAAGATTCTCAGTTTATTACGTAAACTTATGATAAAGCATTGACAAAATTTAAGTAGTAAACGGTAAATAGAACACCAGTACTGATTGGTCAATACATAGGAATCCCTGAGAAACTCCTTACGGTAGCCAATCAGAAAGAAAGAATGCACCTGATGCAGAAATCATGTAATTATAGCCAAAACATATTCATTACAACTGCTAGTTGATGAATTAACGTACAACAGTGTTTACTGATGTGCCCATATGTAAGCCCCTCGGCATGATATTACTGTCAGCTGTGACGTGTGTTACTATTAGTTTTCTGAAAATACTTTCGCTTTTTCAATCAAAGTCACCATTCTGAGCTGAAAAGGGTTGGCACCTCTGTAGCTGTCTGAGACTTTCACTGATTCAGCTTCTCGTCCCTCATTAATCTGAAACGCAGTAATATGACTGGAATACTTTGAAATGGAGTAAAACCTAACTCATTCGCTCACTTCTCTCTCATGTAATTGGATGTAATCCACTGTACATAATAAACATTGGAGATGAATTATTACCTTGAGACAGTGGGTGTATGTTATAGTACACAATAGTGGTAGTCCGATTAATTGAAATAATCGAAGATTGGTCGCAGTGACCAAACGACCAAGCAATCGATCACATTTTCTCATAATCGAACATAAACGATTTTGGAACTACTGTTTAGTCTTTGAAATACTTGACAATGGAACATATCTTAGAAGTTGTCAGGGCCTGAAAACATGTTTATTTCTTAGAAAACTCACTCCACTAACTGAAAAGTCATGACTAAATATTCCTCTAAGACTCCAGGAAGTTTATGTTCATGATATATTAGTCATCACTTTAATGTAGCAAGTAGCAACATGTTATACTTTTCTGCAGTAACAACCTGGATAGGAAAATCTGAAAAATGACGCTAACCAATTTTTTTCCATGATTGTTCGTTGGTAATGAAGCAATCATCAATTGTGAGATTTCAACCAATTCCCAACACTAGTACACAATGGGTAGAAATTCAGTATGAACTACACTTTATATATTCATTAGTTCTTGAATAGTTGGTAAGCTGTTATGGGTTCCAAATCCTTGACTCTTATGTTTAAGTCACACAACTCCACATCTCAACATGGTCAAAACATGTTGAAGAGTTTAGTTTGTTTGTGTTTCACTGAGTCAAATGAACATTACATCAACCGCTGACTTAAATTTGTTACCCAATATTTATGATATGTATCATGTTTGACTCACAGTGTATTCTTTACAGCAAATAGACCCATAAAGATCCGGGTGAGAATTGATCTTCAGTAACCCATGCTTGTTGTAAGAGGTGACTAACGGGATCGGGTGGTCAGGCTCGCTGGCTTGGTTGACACATGTCATCATATCCCAATTGGGCAGATCGATGCTCATGCTGTTGATCACTGGATTGTCTAGTCCAGACTCGATTATTTACAGACGGCTGCCATATCGCTGGAATATTGTTGAGTGCGGCGTAACACTAAACTCACTCACTCACTTTACAACATATCAATAGATAATAGTTCCTTAATGCTGTTCAGATATGTGTGTATCCGATCTGTGTTCGTGCTGACGACAGAGTGTGCGTCGTTGACGGTAACACTGGTCGTGACGTTGAGGAAGTTTGTCAGTCTGATATTCTCTATCATGTACTTCAAGAACCCCTTCACTGTCCAACACTGGATCGGGACGTCTTGTGTCTTTGTCGGAACTCTCTTGTTCACGGAGGTGATCTCATTAGGCAGGCAGAAGAAAACAGAGAAGAAGCGACAATAATGACACAGGACTTTAGTCAATTTTTAAATGTTTTTATTTAGAGTGAATCTTCACCCGTCTTCAATATGCAAAGCAGCAGCAGCAGCACAGGAAAATGAGACTGCTTTGAGGTTTTGTTGGAATTTGATTTCCGTTGTTGCTGATTTTTCTAGTGGCCGCAATATTGACAGAGAATATTCTTTCACAAGGTTCTTATAAATGATAATCAAGAATTCTCAATAACAAAATTTCGGGTTTCATTATCCAGGGTCATGTATTATTGCATAAATGTGTATATGTCTTCTCTGGGATGAGGACCTGCTAGGTATTGATTCTGAAAAATGTCAAGGTCAGCACTGGCAATATGTGTAATTTCTCTATTTAACACAGTTAAACGTGCTGAAACATAAGAATGCACATGTGAACAGTATTTATTATAGTTTCACTTGCAAAATAATACTACTAATAATAAGTTGTAATGCTCAGTAAATTGCTCAGTAGGTTATATTTAACTAGAACTAGAAGTGTCTGTTTGTAGTGAGTGCACTGTGGAAGAATCCCAGCCAGTATACCTGCATGGTCTGTCGATATAGTCCCTGTGTCAGTAGCCTGGTGCTCTTTTGACTTCAGAATGTGCGTTTATTTACTAATTCAGAAAACTGGCCTCAAATCAAATCTTGCCCATTTGTATTTCGTCTCCTGAATCTTACATTATTGTCATCACCACAACCAAAATCAGTTCCTTTCATATTTCCATATCTCCAGTTGTGCGTCAATGGTGACACACAATTTCACTTAGATTAGGATGTGACTTCAGGTCTACACTGACAGACATTCAACAGGCAGCTGTATCAGGGAATCGAATAGTTCCTCAAAATTAGATGTGATATCAGTGGATTATGCAGAAACTTAGTTGCTTTCAAGTCCATAGGAGCGAACTTCTCTGCCTGGCTAGTAATAAGAAATGGTTAAGATGAAGTTGGTTATAAATGACAATCATATCCAGATAAAATAAGCTGGATTATCAGGGATGTGTCCGTTACTTGTGTTCATTTGGGAGGGGTGGGGGGTAGCCTAGTGGTTAAAGCGTTCACTCGTCATGCCGAAGACTCGGGTTCGATTCCCCACATGGGCACAGTGTGTGAACTAGCATAGCATTACACCCAGGGTGGTACCTGTGAAGATCCGGGTTAGAATATTGATCTTCAGTGAACCCATGCTTGTCGTAAGAGGTGACTAAAGGGATCGGGTTGTCAGGCTCGCTGACTTGGCTGACACGTCATAGGTTCCCAATTGCGTTGATCGATGCTCATGCTGTTGATCACTGGATTGTCTGGTCAAGATTCCAGATTTACAGACCACAGCCATATAGCTGGAATATTGCTGAGTGTGGTGTTAAACAACAAGCAAACCAAACTCTTAACTACTGTGGTGTTATAAAGAGGGTGGCGAGGTAACAGAGTGGTGTTATAACCTGGATGATGTAACTAGCATGGCATTACACCCAGGGTGGCATCATAACCTGGGTGGCGATATAGCAAGAGTGCTGTTACAACCTGGGTGATGTTATAACTAGGATTGCGTTACACCCAGGGTGGCATTATAACCTGGGTGGCAATATAGCAAGGGTGCTGTTACAACCTGGGTGATGTTATAACTAGGATTGCGTTACACCCAGGGTGGGATTATAACCTGGGTGGCAATATAGCAAGAGTGCTGTTACAACCTGGGTGATGTTATAACTAGGATTGCATTACACCCAGGGTGGCATGATAACCTGGGTGGCAATATAGCAAGGGTGCTGTTACAACCTGGCTGATGTTAGAACTAGGATTGCGTTACACCAGAGTGTCGTTATAACCTGGGTGGCAATACAGCAAGGGTGCTGTTACAACCTGGGTGATGTTATAACTAGGATTGCGTTAGAGACATGGTAGTGTTATATCAGGGAAACCATTCTAGTCATTATAGTGGCATTATAACAATAACGTATTAATCTACTCATGACAATTCCACCTCTAATATGTGTATATTCAGTTCTTTCATCACAGAAAGCCACTTTAATAGCCTTTGTTATTAAGTTGTTTTTTTATAAAAATAGATTTGTCCAAGTGACAGTTACACATGTCGAGCCACACTGGATATGTCCCTTTAGAGTTATTAACATGAACTCTGAATGAAAAAAGTCATGGAAAAATGCTAAACATTTGGACAAATAGTCCAAGTTGACAGTTGTGTAATATGGTTGACAATTGTTAACATAAGCTGCTTCAGCTCATTCTGAACATAGTAATTGAGGTTTTATAAGAGGGGTACAGTTCACCACTCAGGTGTTTTCATTATCATATGAGTGTGAGTGCTCTTTAGGCAATGGTATTGTTACACATGAAGAAGTGGGGTAGCCTATTGTCCAGGTAAGTGGAGAAGACAACAGAGATCTCTTGTATATGTCCGGGTAATATTTAGTTTGATTCGATGATATTAAAGGAGTCACATGGTATTGACATGGTATACAACTTGTACTGCAATTGTACCATATTGTACTTTCTTAAACGAGAAGTGATGTCATTGAAATGAAAGTGATTGTAACTTTGTTATTTCAGTCAGAAGCCGAGACATGTGAAGGTTCGGATAAGAATTGGTCTTCAGTAACCAATGCCTGTCCTAAGAGGCGACTAACGGGATCGGGTGGTCAGGCTCGCTGACTTGGTTGACACATGTCATTGGTTCCCAATGATGCTCATGCTGTTGATCTGGTCCAGACTTGATTATTTACAGACCGCCGCCATATAGCTGGAATATTGCTGAGTGCGGAATAAAACTCACTCACTCTCTCAGAAGCTGAGGTAGTGAGTGATTTCAACTTTGTTGTTAAGGCTGCTCTCGGGTGTGAATCTTCTGGCTGGAAGTGCTTATAACTTTGTTATTAGTTGGTCAAAGATTTAAGATTGTTTGTTTCACAGCTGAGCATTCAGCAAAATATCAAAACATTGTGACATTGTGAAATGTCAGAATGGTGCATATTGCTTGTTATTTACATGACCGCAGCTGACATTTTGTTGAGTCTGACTGTACATATGAAATCCTACCTATATTTACTCACACTTAAGACAAACAAATTCAGTTCAAGACAATCATGCTTGGTTCAGTTTTCTTGTTCTGATCAATGACTGGTCAGTTATGATCGGGGGAGAGGGGATTGGTCTCAGGACTATATATTTTGTGAACACACTTAATGTAGTATTCTCCCAAGCCATAATAATTGGCCTGAATCTTGTTCAGATTTACACTTTATTAACCTGTTGCTGTGTCATTTATCCACGTGGGGCGGTGGGGTAGCCTAGCGTTTGCTCATCACGCCGAAAAATCCGGGTTTGATTCCCCATGGGTACAATGTGCGAAGCCCATTTCTGGTGTCACCAGCCGCCATTTCTGGTGTCACACGCCGTGATATTGCTGGAATATTGCTAAAGGCGGCGTTAAACTAAACTCACTCACTCCTCTGTAATAAATGACCAAGCTGCAAATGAGACTTTGCTTTGCCCAGGAGATTGCATGTGTGTGTAACAAGATTCAATAAGTTAATATGCCTGAAGATGCCAGTAATTGTACATATCTATATTATACCAATCTGTGTCAACAGAACTCAATAACCTCATGATGAATGTGTTGATACATTCAGGGCACACAGTAGAGTTTTAAGTATTAACATCACATATATTCAGATTTGAATGACTATATCAGAATATGTATTAAATCTTGTAACCTTTAGTGTCATTACATTGTTTGAATATTGACTTTACATGATTGTTAGTTTCTTGCCATTTGGTTGAGTTTAAGTGACCATGAATATGTTTTAATCACTTTTGTGTTTTAAATCATTGTTTTAATATGAATAGAATCTACCTTGTGATTTTGCTTATCAGGGATGAATTGACTGTGTTCCACATCGCAACATTGTCAGCTGATGTAGTTGTCACAGATCGGGCCGTGATCCCATATCAACATGGCAGGGCTAACCAAACACGCATGAAATTTAATCCAACGAAATCCGTTACTCTGATACACTTAGATTTTCAGGATACCATTATGCTCACAGAGTGCTTGTTATTCAATTACCACTCTTGTTCTGTTCTGTGCAATTTTTAATGAACTCTTGTTAAAACGTCTGTTCATTATGAACACAAATTTGATTAATATTTTAATGTAAATTCCTGTTGTATCGTATTTTTGTTCATTAAGCATATATGTAACATAATTATACCTTCAGTTTGAAGACCTGACATGATACAGAATATAAGCTTGATTTGTGAACTATTACCTGCCACTTGAATGTAGGGCCTTTGTGTGCAGGCTGCCGTTAACGAGACATATAGAGGAGATATTTTAACAATATTTGTGCCTTTGTTTTAACAAGGGTCTCCTCCACAAAGAGTTGGTTCACCAGTTATGTCTGCCGACCCTTCGTTTGTAATCCTTACTTAAATAAATACAAATGTTCAGTGTATGAAATAAGGCCCGTCCGACCAACCGAGACGGTCTAGATTTCTGATGGACGGTCTAAATTTACAGCTAGCCAGCCAAAATTTTAGATGTTCCATACATCTGAGTAAATTCACCATATTTGGTCTGGTTAAATCCATTTTGGGCTGGTAATATTTTGAAGTTACCAGCCCTGATGTCTGGCTTGATTTTTGGCTTATTTCATACACTGAAATGTTTTTCTTGTATTTTTATTTCAATTATTAATTGCAGGTAGCAGGGGACTTAATAGATTGAATATGATAATTCAAGTCATAGAAGTTTAAATCTGAGAAATTCAAAGGGTAAAAGGCTTTCAAAAAACAAAGAAGCAAGTTTCAAATGCGCAGTAACTGATTGTATCGCTCATTTTCAGTTGTAAATATTTAATGGGGAATGTTCGATGGATATACAACTTCTCTATTATTAATGTAAGCGATGTTTCGGTGTAGCTGCTAACACCGTTATCAAGCATGTGATATGTCCTTCAAGAACGTATAAGAGTCATTCTCAAAGTTCGTGCATATTTATGTTATATGTTTGTTTCTGACAAACTTAAGTCAAAATCAGTAATTTTTTTAAAGTAACCAATTTATCTCAGTTAAATCTACTCTTTACAGTAACAAACTTGGGAAAAAAATACATGAAATACTCACGAATTTTGAGAATGACTCAGTTAAAATGAAAGTGAATGACCATCTTGTAACATATTTGAAAGCTGCAGTATTAGAATACAATATCATATTGGAAAACTGCAAATGTTGCCTTGTACTACTAGCATGCAAGTTTTGACGGTAATAAAGGATGAAATCCATGGAAGGACCAGTATCTTGATTTGTGTAGTTCTACTGGTCACCTGTTCCCTTCACGAAGGCCACTACAATTGTAGAAGTGCCAAATTAATTGGTGTGTTTTATGTACCAGTAATGTCATCATGAACACCTGACCAAGTTTCCATATACCAGGAGAATCTTGAACTCCTGCACACCCATGAACATCCGGTTTAGAATTGATCTTCAGAAACCCATGCTTGTCGTAAGAGGCGACTAATGGGATTGGGTGGTCAGGCTCGCTGTCCTTGTTGACACATATCATCGGTTCCCAATTGCGCAGATCGATGCTTTTGCTGTTTATCACTGGATTGTCTGGTCCCTGGAATATTGCTGAGTGTGGCGTTAAACAGCCAACCAACCATTGAGCGCCTGCATATGCTATTCTTCATGCTTCACTTACTCATACTAAGGGACCGTTCATAATTTATCGCTAGCGGGGGTGATGGTGATTTTAAGGGGGGTAACCCATTTTGTTCTGGGAAAGTGGGGGGTCATCAATTTTGTATACATGTTTGGGGTGGGGTGGAGGGTGTCAGCTATTTTGAACATGAAAATATGAAAAAAAGATGCTTAAAAGTTATGGGAAGGGGCATTGAATTTGTACATGACATGCAGCAGGTACTTTGTACATAAATCTTAGGGGGGTTCATTCCCATTGTACATGCTTCTTCATAAAATCATCATCATCAAACACACACACACACACAGCCATAAATTATGAACAGTCCCTAAATGACATAGAACTGGTGGCGCGTCAGCACAGTGGTTTAAGCATTCGCTTGTCATGCTGAAGACCCAGGTTCAATTCCCAAACACAGGTACAATGAGTGAAATCTGTTTCTGGTGTCCGTGGGCGTGATATTGCTGGAATATTGCTATGAGAGGTGTAAAATCATGCTTACTTGTACTAAAAA